ACCAAGGTCAAGAATCTTGATGTTAGTGCGCTCCCGTTCCGTGCTTATGCCAAGATTTGGGACGATTGGTATCGTGATGGTAATCTTCAGGACTCTATTATCAAGTATCATGAAGACCTTGATGATGGCAACCCCCACAATATCAATTGGAACACCCTTTTGAAGCGTGGCAAGCGTCACGATTACTTTACCTCGGCTCTTCCGTGGCCTCAGCGCGGCGAAGCCGTACAGATTCCGCTCGGCTCTCGTGCAGATGTCTACGGCACTGGTCAGCCTATGTTTGTCGGTGAGGTTAGTGCTTATAATCAGCCGCATTCCATCAATTTGCATAATGGTACTAAGGATTTTGATCTAGCTACAAATGCCTCCGTTACCGGTAAGGCTTCCTTTGCCACTAAGGGTGAGCTTGGTTCTAACCTTCCGTATCTCTACGCTGATTTGTCTACCGCTACGGCGGCCACTATCAACAGTCTCCGCATGGCCTTTCAGCTTCAGCGTCTCCTAGAGACCGATGCCCGTGCGACAGGAAGCCGTATCTGCGAAATCATCCGTGCGCATTTCTCCACGATCTGCCCCGATGCGCGTCTTCAGCGTTCCGAGTACCTTGGCGGCTCTTCTCAGCAGATTGCCTTCTCCACTGTTACTCAGACCTCCGGAACTACTGACGATACTCCTCAGGGCAACCTTACCGCAAACGGCAAGTGCGTCTCTCATTCTGGCTTTACCAAGTCCTTCTCCGAGTGGGGTTATATTATCGGCCTTGCCTCGGTCCGTTGTGACCTGAACTATCAGTCTTCCCTCAACCGCATGTGGTCTCGCCGTGGCCGTTATGACTACTATTGGCCCGTGTTGCAGAATTGCGGTGAACAGGCCGTTCTCAATAAGGAGATTTTTGCCCAGGGTGCTGATGTTGTTGATCCTGAGACCGGCGAAGCCGTTGATGATCAGGTGTTCGGATATCAGGAGCGTTATGCTGAATACCGGTACAATCCTTCCTTGATTACCGGAAAGATGCGTAGTAATGCTACCGGCTCTCTTGATATTTGGCATCTCGCGCAGAAGTTCACTTCGTTGCCGAAGCTCAATGCTTCCTTTATTCAGGAGAATCCGCCTCTTAAGCGTGTAATCGCGGTTCAGGATGAGCCCGAGTTGATTCTTGATGCCTACCTTGGGCAGACTTGGACCCGTCCCCTCGGTTGTTACTCTATTCCTGGTCTCATTGACCACCTGTAAGCGTTACACTCTCATAGGTTAGTGATGGAGTTTTGCGGTATCTCCTAAAAAACCGCATTTACATCTTATGGGTTTTCTTTCCAATGCTATGGATGCCGTTGCACCTGGTCTCAGCTCGTTCGGTAAGGATGGAGCTTGGTTCCTCAATGGCGGTAATCTTGACTCTTATCTTAATGGCTCTTGGGGTGCCTCTCTCAATCTCAAGAACTCGCGTAAGCTAATGGAAGACCAGTTTGGCTATAATATGGCCATGCAGAATGATTCTCAGGAATGGAGTGCTGCACAGGCCGAGCTTTCCCGTAAATTTGACGAGCGTATGTCTAATACAGCTTATCAGCGTGTGGTCAAGGATCTGAGGAAGGCCAATATTAATCCTATGCTTGCCATTACCAACGGTGCGGCCTCTTCTCCCCAGGCTCCTATTCCTTCTGCTGGTACTAATAGTGTTTCCCCAGGTCCTGCTACCTTTAAAGGCGGTGAACTCGGTAATACCCTCTCCGGTGCCGCTTCCCTGATGGGTGGCTTTGGTACTATTGCCAAGTTAGGCTCCGAGGTTTCCGTTAACAATGCCCATGCCGCTAACCTAGAAGCCGATACCGGTTTGAAGGCCGCTAATACTGCTATGGCAGAGCAGAATATTCGCGAGTCTCAGGCCCGTAGTCAGATGTATGTTGCGCAGACCAATCTTGCCAACAAGCGCGCCGGACGCGAAGAAGCCGATACCAAACAGCCTGGTGTAGTCGGACAAGGTGTACGAGCTATGCAGAACACGGCTAACGATTGGCTTGAGAATGTCAAGGATCTCGGCGGTAATATCGGTAGTTCTGTTGAGGACCTTTGGAACAGCGCGAAGTCCGCTATTGAGCGTCTTGAGTCTTCCGGTTCTTTTGATGGCAAGTCTAGTCCTGGTAAAGGTGGTCACAATGCAAAGAAACTTATTGACCTTATGCAGACTATGCCTCGTCTTCGCTGATTGTTCCACGTAGAACATTGTTTCACGTAGAATAAAAATATTTTATAATCTTTGCTAGTCCGTTGTAATTGCAACGGACTTTTTTTCATTCTTTTGGTATAATTGCGGCATCTTGAGTGAAAGGAGTACACTAATGGCAAAATCTAAAACTGAGTTCGTTATTCAGATTTGGCAAGATAACCTCCATATGTGGTCTGATGTTTCCTCTTCTCATGACCTTGTTCGCCATAAGGACATGTGGGATTATCTTACTCAGAAGTATGCAGCCGAGCCGGATAAGCGTTTTCGTCGTGTTGTCCGTCCTCTTCCCTCTGATGGTCATACTTTAGTCTTTGCCTGGTAATATGTCTGACTGTTTAAACCCCACCTCATGCTGGTTCATTGGTGTCGGCCCGTGTAAGCGTGATGGTATCATTTCCCCGATTCTCACCTTCTCGCCTAATAAGGCAAGAGAGTATCTTCGTAGTGTCGGACAAGATGAAACTATGTTGGACGCTATAGGACATTCTGTGCCATGTGGCAAGTGTATTAATTGTCTTGTCAAGAAGCGTAAGGATATGTCCGTGCGCATCACTAAAGAAGCCGTAATGACCAATGGAGCTTGTTGTTTTCTCACGCTCACCTATAATGATGACAATCTCACTAGGTTCTTTCCTGAGATTGGAGATGATCGGCCCTGCCTCGTTAAGAAGGATATTCAGGACTTTATGAAGCGTCTTCGCCGTCACTTGGAGTATCATGACATTGTCCCACCTGGTACACTCCGTTACTTCGCCGTCGGTGAGTATGGTCCTACTACGCATCGGCCTCACTATCATATCATTCTCTTCGGTTGGAAACCTTCCGACATCACTCTGCAGAGCGTCAGCAAGTCTAACCATCTCCTCTATACCTCTAAGATCGTCGGAGAGTGTTGGAAACTCGGTTTTCATACAGTTGAAGACTTCTCGCCTCAGGCCGCTAGGTATTGCGCTCGGTATGTCACCAAGAAGCTCACTAATACGCATAGCTCAGCCCTTGACGGCCTTCCTGATGAGTTCTTTCTTGCCTCTAAGATGCAAGGTGGAATAGGTGCTCCGTGGTTTGATTGCTTTGGCAGTCAGGCTTGCGAGACCGGTATTACTGTCATAGAATCCGGTAACCATCTCGTCCAAGTTGCGACTCCAGCTTACTTCTTTGATCGGTTGCGTAAACAGGACCTTGCTTTTTGGCTAACTCTCCGTGCCTCTCGCCAGGCATATGCCATTGAACACGCTTCCGAAGATAGGACTGTTGACAGTTCTCTCCGTAAAATGCTATACTCTCAATATCAACTAGATAAGGAAAGGAAACAGTCCACACTATGAAACGATTCAAGCCCAATCAGGCGCGTTCTCGCCGGCTCTTCGCCGCGACCGCGAACAAGACCCATGTCAAGAATGTTGCACCCGCTCCCATGCGTGGCGGCATCCGTCTGTAAAGGAGTACCCATGTCCAAGATCAATCATTGTATAGCTCCTAAGAGCGTCACCTTAAAAGCGCAGAAAAAAGCGCATAGCGGAGAGGAGCGAAGCGACCGGAGCGTAGCAAAGGCTGTCCGCGCCCGTCTTGAACCGGCTAATCTTGTTCGGATGTATTCTTTCAAGAATGCTGTCGGGCATTTTTCTATTCCCTTCTATGGCCTTAATGATGAAAAGGCCCTAGAGGCTTGGAAGGAGTGCGTTAAGCTCTATGGTATCGCAAATGTTGGCGATATCTATTGGTGCGGATGGTTCAACTATGAAAGCGGAAAGTTCATCTCTCAGCCGCCTAAGGTTGTCAAGGAGTAACCATGTTCTTTACTATATACAAGCGTCCACCGAATCCCGTCACCGAGTGTGACGGCCCTTCCGCTACCCGTCAGGAGTTCAAGCGTGAGTGTGATATCAATTGCATTCTGCATGATTACCAGATTACCGGAAAGCTTCCTGATAGGCCAGAGCCGAATTACGGCGACTTCACCTCTGTACAGGACTTTGCTACTTCTCTTGAGCGCGTCAATGCCGCTAAGGATACTTTCCTTAATCTGCCTGCAGAGGTCCGCGCCAGGTTCGGTAATGATCCCATGAGCTATTATAGCTTTGTCCTTGATCCTGCTAATGTTGAAGAGTGCGTCAAGCTAGGCCTTGCAACTCCTCATCATAAGGAAGAGTCCACGTTGGATGTCCTTAAGGGCATCCGCGACAGTGTCACCCCGAAGGGGACGGCCGAGCCTAGTTCGGCCGTGTAACGCCATATATATACTTGTCTAATATAGGCGTTACTGACACAAACCCAAAACGCTAGTCAAACCCAAAACCTAAAACTATGAAAGAAAAAATCAAATGCGTAATTATCGCAGTTTTAAAGGCGGCACTCGTTGCCGCTCTCACCACTCTCGGTATCAATACTACCGGTTGCGTCGCTGTCGGTAAGAATCCCTCTTCTCTTACTGTTTTTGAAAGGAATTACTAATTATGAAGTCCGTTATGTCCCACGATTTTAGCCGAGCCGCTACTACCACGGCGAAGCGTTCTACCTTTGACCGGTCCCACGGTCTCAAAACTACCTTTGATTCCGGATACCTTGTGCCTATTGAGGTTCAGGAAGTCCTTCCGGGCGATACTGTTCATATGGATGCGACCTTTCTCGCGCGTACTGCGCCTGTGGTTACTCCTATTATGGACAATGTGTTCATGGATATTCATTGGTTCTTCGTGCCGTCTCGTCTCGTTTGGAACAACTTTACCAAGATGATGGGTGAGCGTACCTCGCCCAATGATAGCATTGACTATCTCACTCCGCAGATTAATAGTGGTAATGGTTTCGCTACCGGTTCGCTTGCCGACTATTTTGGCATTCCTACCAAGGTCAAGAATCTTGATGTTAGTGCGCTCCCGTTCCGTGCTTATGCCAAGATTTGGGACGATTGGTATCGTGATGGTAATCTTCAGGACTCTATTATCAAGTATCATGAAGACCTTGATGATGGCAACCCCCACAATATCAATTGGAACACCCTTTTGAAGCGTGGCAAGCGTCACGATTACTTTACCTCGGCTCTTCCGTGGCCTCAGCGCGGCGAAGCCGTACAGATTCCGCTCGGCTCTCGTGCAGATGTCTACGGCACTGGTCAGCCTATGTTTGTCGGTGAGGTTAGTGCTTATAATCAGCCGCATTCCATCAATTTGCATAATGGTACTAAGGATTTTGATCTAGCTACAAATGCCTCCGTTACCGGTAAGGCTTCCTTTGCCACTAAGGGTGAGCTTGGTTCTAACCTTCCGTATCTCTACGCTGATTTGTCTACCGCTACGGCGGCCACTATCAACAGTCTCCGCATGGCCTTTCAGCTTCAGCGTCTCCTAGAGACCGATGCCCGTGCGACAGGAAGCCGTATCTGCGAAATCATCCGTGCGCATTTCTCCACGATCTGCCCCGATGCGCGTCTTCAGCGTTCCGAGTACCTTGGCGGCTCTTCTCAGCAGATTGCCTTCTCCACTGTTACTCAGACCTCCGGAACTACTGACGATACTCCTCAGGGCAACCTTACCGCAAACGGCAAGTGCGTCTCTCATTCTGGCTTTACCAAGTCCTTCTCCGAGTGGGGTTATATTATCGGCCTTGCCTCGGTCCGTTGTGACCTGAACTATCAGTCTTCCCTCAACCGCATGTGGTCTCGCCGTGGCCGTTATGACTACTATTGGCCCGTGTTGCAGAATTGCGGTGAACAGGCCGTTCTCAATAAGGAGATTTTTGCCCAGGGTGCTGATGTTGTTGATCCTGAGACCGGCGAAGCCGTTGATGATCAGGTGTTCGGATATCAGGAGCGTTATGCTGAATACCGGTACAATCCTTCCTTGATTACCGGAAAGATGCGTAGTAATGCTACCGGCTCTCTTGATATTTGGCATCTCGCGCAGAAGTTCACTTCGTTGCCGAAGCTCAATGCTTCCTTTATTCAGGAGAATCCGCCTCTTAAGCGTGTAATCGCGGTTCAGGATGAGCCCGAGTTGATTCTTGATGCCTA